TTGTTGCGGCTCCTTTTTGGATTCTACGTTAGGTACTGCCCCCACTCTGCAACGGTTGGATAATATCTAAAATATAGTAGTATGTACTTATATATATATATGTATATATACATACATATATATATATATATATCTCTCTCTCTCTCTCTCTCCCTTTATCTGACCCCTAATATAGACTGTTGCAGGGTGGGGGCTCCTTGATGTGATGCGCCTTCAAGGCGGCCCAAGCATAACATTTTTCTAATGAGACAGGGTTGGAGGCTCAGCGGGCCTAGTAGTAAGTCAAGGTGGATACGTGGTAAGGGTTAGGTGCGGTATATATTTACTGAGCCTCCTTAAACCTCCAAATCTTCAAATACAACATCATATTGAGCCTAATACAGGCTGCAGACCAACCCACAACAACCCTCACCCTCAAACCCTCACCTTAGATATTCCAGACCGTTGGCAGCATCTTAGAGGTTGTTCAGGGATGCAGAAACCTTGAGCCCCCAACCGGCAGTGGCCGCAGCCTAAAGCCCAAACCCCTAAACCATTTTTAGGGAGAATTGGGATAACTGGAACTATAGAACATCTTCACCCTGCATGTCAAATCCGTCAAGTGTTTTTACTCCCCCTGAAGTGGTAGTTTTCCCCAAAAATAGGGGGAACCCGATATAGACCCCACAACACTATAATCCTTATTATGGGGACCCACAGGTACCCCAAATTTTGAAATATCAACCACTAGGAGGGTTTTTAATCTGGGGAGGCAGTTTAATGAGCCCTACACCTAAGCCCTGAACCCAAGCCCAAATGCTCCTAAATCGCTAAACCCTCAATCCTAAGTCATTAAGGAAGCCCACTGTTTCGAACAGCTGCGGCCCCCAAAGTCTTCGCTGCGGCGTTGGTATGGCGCAGGGACGGTCCTTGGGATTGGTGTGGTTTCAGGGTTAAGGGCTTTGGGTGTAAAGGGTTTGTGTAGGGATTTGTAATAACCCTTGAACGCGACCCAGGAAAATTGGGGCTCAGGGTTTTAGTTGAGTGGAAAAGAAAACTGAATAAATATGAACATCGGGGCATGGTTGTGTAATGTGTAGGGTAGGGATAGTTATAGGGGTCCGTTACTTTTTCCTGTTAGCCTGTACGAGGTATCGGGGTTCATGGATGATCTGAAGCAAAACGGAGTTATTTACGGATAAGTCTTGCTGGGTTGTCTTGGGGAGTATATGGGGTTTGATACTGCTTATCATAAGGGTCATAGAAGGTTATATAACGAAGACCATATGGTTCCAGTTGGAATGAGCAAACTTGGACCATTACAGTAGCCTGAACCCACCTGGACCGTTGCCATTCTTCCACTGGTCCTCCTAATTCAAAGCCACACCTATATGTGGGGGTTTCCCAAAATTGGGGGTACCTTATTGGGAGTACCATAATCAGGATTATAATGCATTGGGGTCTATACTGGGGTCCCACTATTTGGGAAACTGCCATATGCTGTAGTGCTCACATTGCAATAAGTTTGCTCAGTATGCTTTACAATGAGCTCTTGAACCGAAATGCAACATATCTCAATCATAAAAATGTTGGCCACTTATGAAGTACTCTCATTGGTAGTAGATCTCCTTCCGTTGAAGGCGCATCCGAATTAGCGGGTGGCTTTTGCCCGGCGGTCTGCTTTGCGAGATGTATTGTTGCAATTGAGGGATCTGATCCTGGGGCATGTTGTGCAGAGCACTCAACTTCTGGCCCGAAGACAAGTCAAGGCCCTAAGGCCCTAAAGTTCCGCACTCCTCAAGCCTAAGCCCAAAGCCCTGCATTAGACCCAAAGTCACGCTGAGCGAGAAGAACGCTTACTACCTTACCACTGGAGTGTCTAGGGTTCTTGAGGGACTTCATAGGCAAACAATGGCTCTCGGTGAGAATTATCGTAGCCCTGCACCGGAAGTAGGCAGCTATTTAGCAAAAGAATAGGCCAAGTATGCTGGGGACCCCCAAAATGGTACCCATAATTTTGGGGAACCCTAAGCCCTTGTCCCTGACTTTTATATACCCCCATATATAACCCTTATAACCCCCTTTAGGTTACCCTTGATTCTGGGAAACCCCAATAGATGCCAATAGAAACCCGAAGCTGCCATCCCGTCCTAATTTTCCATTACTACTATACCCAGCAGGGGTTTCCCAAAATCAGGGGTTTAGGGTTAACTCAGGATTACTGCAGTTGGGGGTCTATATTGGGGTCCCCCACTTGAAGCTACCAAGAATTGAAATGGTTATCCTTATCTCTACGATTCATGCTACTGCAGCACCACTGCATTCAAGACAGCCCTCACCCTCTAACAGTCCCCAGATGTTGTAATGGTGGTGCTCTGATACCCTTCAACGAGTCCTCTGTATCCTGTTTCCAACTGGGTAGGGTCCGCATCCAACCTTACCCTAACCGTAGTTCCTAAACTCTAAACTAGATCCTCAGGCAAATCCCTACTCCCGAAGCCCCAAGCCCTAATCGACAATCCTTAAACTAAACTTTTTATACATATACACCCGTCTGTATCCCTATGTATTCCCATATGCCCCTATACAACCCTATATACCCCCATGTTAATCCCTTAGCCCTGAGCCACTGAGGCCGTCTGCCTCTTCGGGAATCTTGGCGCAGCACCGGCTGCCGACGCTCTGAGGCCTTTATTGTGAAAGGTCAACATGGTGATGGGGTGGCCCAAAATTGTCCCCAACGACCCTAAACCCTAAGCCCAACATATTTCAAAACCTTAAACCTTTATCCGTAAACCTATATTCGAAGCCCTTTAACACTAAGCCCTAAACCCAACAAATTCGAAGAACCTTTTTTCACATGGGGCCCGGGATGATAAGGATGTCTTCCATCCACCATGCCGCGCTTTGGCAATGCTCGCCTACAACCCCATCCACAACCCCTCCAACCCTATGACTTAAGCCTTAACCGTCAGAGGGGTTAAGGTTTCAAAAATCAAGGGGAGGAATGATGGTGCTTGGAGTGTTCAATTGGTGTTTTTAGGTCCTAGTTCAGGGATAGCTTAAGAGTTTCCTCTTCTCAGTAGAAGCCTCCATGGGGCGCACTGTCGCCTTGCACTCTTAAGTTTTGGGTTCCTTGTCGCCGTCTCAGCGACTCAGGGTGAACATCGGACCTTTCTCACCGACGTGACTGGCAGGACACCTGAGCACGCGAGCGCGAGAGAGACAGACAGAGAAGGACCTCAAGTGGGGCAGGACCCTTATCAAACCTAAACCCTGAAACCTAAACCCTGAACCCTTGACGCCCATCACTTCACGTTCTCATGCCCTAAACTGTAGAGCCCTAAGGAGACAAGCTTTTAGCACTCGCGCCAGAAGGAAGCAGGTGGTCGACCTGCTAGAAGCCGACCTCTTTCTCGTGTCGACTGAGGCCATGGCGCAGGGAATCTTTCTGGGGGGAATTGGTTTGAGCTTCAGGATGTTTACGGTTAGGGATTTAGGGTTTAGGGTTGCTCGTGCCAAGCAGTGCAGGGTTTAGAGTCCAGGCCTTTGTGGGCTATTGCCCCGTTTTTGGGTGGGCTGGATTTGAGGCTCTGGGAACACCAAGACCTCGAAGCCAACACTGGACACAACTGCTTTGCTGCCCAGAAGAGGACCATGGTAAAAGATTTGCGCCCTATACTCCAAGACCGTGGTATGTTCTGATCGCAGTTGAGGTTCTTGGTTCCATTCGTTCAGTTTCAGCCTGAAATAACCTTGAGCCCCGAAGTTTAATGAGGCCTCGGAAGATCGTCTTGGGCCCTTCCGTCCGTGGCGGCGCGCCGTGCTGAACGCAAATGGCGAAGATCCCGAAAGGACGGACGGTCAAGTGATTAGCAAAATATAGGTGGATACTACAAGGAAAGGGGTCTTCGGAAGTGTTAGGGGGAAAATAGACCTGGTCCTTCAGCTTTGGTTCAGCTTTTTTTTGGTGTTGGAGGCTCGAGGGTTTAGTTCTTGGAGTTTGGGGCTTGGGGCTCCCATTGTATGGCAGATAGATACAGGGATTCTGTGGCCACTGATGATTGAACGCGGCTTTGTAATCCCCCTCTTCGGCACGCATGCACAGAGGTGTTCAAAGGGCCGTGTTCTACAGAGGGCGCTTGTTTAGCCTTAGCATTCTTGGGGGGTAGGTCACTAAAAACGCCAAAGCCTAAATCCCCAACCCCCTGACACCAAATCCTAAACCACATCCCAAACCCGAAACTCTAACACCTCAGTATCTGGGACGACCAGACTTCCCCGAGTCAGCTTCATGAGTTGCATGAGGTGTTCCTTAGGGGTCCATTCATTTACACGGTTGTAGAGATTCTAGGGAATTGGGAATTATGGTGTGAGGTGTTCAGGGGATATTTAGGGGCGAAAGTTGTTTCCATCCCGTTCTTCGGTAGCCAAAGTGGAAGCATCTAAACGACTGGCAGTCTCCTTGCGAACGTAAGTCATTATGCTTGCCAGGTTGCTCTTTTTTGGGGTATGAGCCGCAAGAATCTTAAAAGCTTACTTTGTAGGAGGTACTGATATTCAAGTCGGCTGGGCAAAGCTGAGCGTCTTTTGTTGCAACGTGCCTCCAATCTGAAGCCTTAGTGGTTAGGATTCGGAATAGGGCTAGTGGCTACCGTAGCTCCAAGTACGAAGCCACAGTTGTTGGAGTGGCTGCAACGCGACCTGCCGATATTGTGCAGAGTTCCCAAAAGTGTTCCCCCCTAACCCTAAACCCCCTAAACCCTGAACCCAAAAGTGTTTAGGCGTTTAGGATTGAGGGCGTTTAGGGTTTAGTCTGGTTTACATATTTGTATCTGGGCAAGTGGGAAGGACCTCGCCCGAAGTGGTGATTTATAGAGAACCGTTTCTTGTGTAGGCTTTTGGGGCTTGCGATTAAGTCTTGTAATGGAACTTCCTGCCTTGCGGCCAGCACCTTTGCGTGTTGAGTAGTCCCGAGATGTGGCGAAGTGTCTTTACTTCAGGTTGACCTTTTCTAGCCGATGACAGTAAAAAGCATGTTGCTGTCTCAGTATCAGTATGGGTGTAGGCAAGGGGACTTAGGCTGGCAAATGGCATCGCTTTTGCCCTAAACCCTAAATCCACCAGGTATCTTGACGAGTTTCCCGGCTACAGAGAGGTCTTCGAGATGGAAGGCCTGGTGGAAACCTGACGTTAACATGAGTCATGAATTGAGAGAGGGATCTCACCTAAACCCTTTTGGATTTGGGGTTTTGTAGTTCAAGGTTTAGGGGGTTAGGGTTTGCCCCTAAGCCTTGCTATCTATTTTGCCGGGTGCTGAGAATGAGAACGAAAGAAAGCCTTCAATTCTGAACCCCAATCCTCCTACACACCTCCTATGAAACCTAAAGGCTATAGACCTTACATCCCCTTACATCCTAAACTCTGAACCTTCAACCCTCAACCCTGAACCCTTGCCCCTAAACCCCATTGATCCACCACCCTGAGGCAACTTTGTGGGTGGAATCATCTTTCCGGGCTCTGGATGGTTCCAAGTCTTCAGCCTGAGGTGGGCAGTGCAAAGAGTGAGCCGCATCCAATGCTCCTACTGAAGGGGGTTATGCAGGGTTCGGGGTGGAGTGGAGTGTATCTTCTAATATGATGGTTTTTGGGTGTATGGTGATGATGAAGTGATTGCTGCATGCAAGCCACATAGGGGTTGAAAACCAAGCAAGGAGAGGATTCATGTCTGCATGCCGGCAAGATTCCCGGGCAGTATGAGATTCGTTGTAGCGAGTGTGAAGGCGTGAAGGCAGAAATTGGCAGCTGCCGCTGCCAAACAAGGACGAAGATCCTCGCTCACGGTACCATAACTTCTGTTGCTATGCTTGTACGTGAGGGTTTGAGAGGATGGCGATCATTGTGCTTCTTTCCTTTTGTTTTGGTCCAGTAGGGCCGAAGATTGGGTCCACCTGGTAATACCTCAGGGACACCCCTTTTCCCAGGTGTAACATAAAGTCTTGCGGGGAGCCCAGATTGTGAGGGAACATCTAGAAAAGAGTGACATGCAGGACTTGGACCCTAAACCCAAAGCCGAAACCTTTATTCATAACCTCCAATCGCTAAACCCTAAGCCTTTGGTGGTTTCCATTTTCTTCTCTGTTTGCTACCCAGCACCCGCAAAGAAGCCTAAGCTTGAACCAAGAGGGCTCAATATCGCCTAAGGAAGAGAGTCTAGGGTTGAAGGTTTAGGCTGTCGTGTCTAGGGTTACCCCAGTATAGCCAGCCTGTACCCTAAACCCTGCATGTCGCATCATGTCGCCCCTAGACCCTACATAACCCTATAACCTTTTTCTGTCAAGAGCTATACCCTCAACCCTAAACCTTGGGTACTGCCCCCCCCTCAGTAACAGTTGGATAATGATTATAATATGGTTACATCTAGCCCGAAATAGGACCCCGAATGTAGACTGTTACTGGGGGGGGGGCTGTAC